GGATCTTTGGCAATAATAGTGGCACTGACTATCTACAGACACCAGCATCCTGTTAACTTATACCTGCTTTTTGCATTTGTAAGTATTTATATAAATTCAATTTTAATAAACCCTAGAATGTCTTTCATTGTGATGAACTCCTTGAAGCAAACTAGCGGTGGCTAATTTGTTTTTCTTGTGTTCCTTGAAAGATAGCCTATATACTCATGAAGTTCTGAGTTATTTTTTGGAGGTTCTATCCATAGGTTGCTCCTAGATAGCCTCTGCTTCAGGTTACATCCAGCATCTTTTTAGGAAGAATGTTAGAACTTGGAACCAAGTTGTGCAAACGTTTTGTTTGTTTGTGTGTGTGCATATAAATATATCTGTCTGTCTGCTCTCAGTGTTCTGTTGATTTCAGTGATTTTTCTATAAAAGTGCTCCATGGGAAAGAAGCATTTCTGTTACCTTATTTGTTTAATGCACGGCTTCCAGCCGAGACCCAAATGCAACCAGCCATAGGTGTTTATTTTATTAATGGTTTTCTATTTGATGCTGAATTCTGAGCACATCTCCAAAACAGGCAGGTTGATGTCCTCAAATTTCAGTCTCCTTGCCTGATGTTACAAATTTGTAGATATGGGCTAACTGTTGCTCTTGGATATTTTGGGTTATGTAGCAAAGCAGTCTTCTGAAAAGTAGTTGCAGAACCATTGGAATTTGATGCTTTAGGAGTTGCCTAAATGGTGTTTGTGATACAATGAGAAGACAGCTTTGCTGTGTAAGTAAATAGACCGTTTAAATTGTTGTATGATTCCTGACTTTGGAACTCTTGCAGGAGAGTGAGATGTTTAAAACCTTTCAGCAAGTGCAGATGTAACAAGGAGTGATGTAATAGTTTGGCCAAATGTGGTTTGACAGTTTGTGGTATGACAGTTTAAGTATTACATTGTGTAGGAAGAGAGGGGTTCAAATCTGTGTGTGATAAATTGGTTTAAACAAAATATGTTTTAAATGTTCTCTTATTTCTGACCTCTTGTTTTGTGCCATGCTTTTCTCATCTTTTACTGTAATGAAACTTAATTTGACGTTACCTTTCAGAAAAACTCGTGGCCCATACTAGCCTTCAGCCCAGACATCAATATGTTTGATTTTTAGTTACCTGTTTCAAAACAAGGACAAGTGGGAAAAGGAAACTGATGCAGACGCTTAGCTGTCTAATGAGATACTAAGAGTGTTGGATAAAAGTATTTCAAATATTGATAAGTATGCAAAAACATGAAAAGAGTTAATTTCTAATAGCAGCTCAGAGACATTTTTTTTCTTCTTTGTAGACGTTACTGGAAGCACTGACAGTTGCCATTACAGGTAAAGTATCTGATTCCTTAAAGAAATTGGAAAAAGAATTCAGTATGTTGTACTAATCGTCATCTGAGGTTCCTAAATGCAACTAAAGTGATTAAAAAAATCCCTTGTTTGAAAGTTTTAATGACAGTGATACAAGTTTAGCAAAAACCAGGAAATCAAGGGAGAAAACTGGATTCTGATCCAGAACTGAAACTGTATAAACCTGGTGAAAAATGAGTTGTGCCATCCATTCTTGCAGTACAGCTAGCAACGTTCTTTCCTATATGGAAAATAGGAGAGCTGACCTGCAAATGAAATAACCTTATCTTCTCCCTTGGTTTCCTCCAAAGGAAGTACTTTGGAGTTTGGAGAGTTCTGTACTTTATTGTCAAGACTGAGATGGGGCGTTGTGCGAACAAGTTGTGACATCGCCTCGCACTAGAGCTTCCAGCATAAGTTGAACTCACTTCATTATGGTTTATGGTCTCCTGCAAAAAAAAAAAAAAAAGTTTGGAGAAAGGAAAGATTAAGGAGGAAGGAGAGAAGAAAAATGTCCACTCATTTCTCTTATCTTTCCCTTCTTACTGCCTAATAAAAACTTTTATGAGCCTTTACAGAGTTCCAATTCTCTTGTGATTTATTTTTTTCTTGTTTCAGTGTCCTGAAAAATTTAGATAGCATTTTCCTTAAGCTCTCAGGTATCTAGGTTTAAAAATACTACTTCTTTTCTTTTTTTTTTATTTTTATTGTGAGTAGGGAAGATCTGTTATCTCTATTTAAGAAGCTACAGCTATACTGTAACTGTCAAATTTAGCTAGTGCAAGGGTCCCTGAGTCCTGTGATATGATTTTGAAGTGCAAAGACAAGTTCAGGCATAATTTACTTTTTATGTTCCCAGTTAAGATATTCTTTTTCTGTCTGTGAAAGTTTAAACTTCTGTTTCCTCAAAAGATAAGTTAGCAAATCCATAGTGTACTGTTCTTCAAGTGACAGTTTCTTTCTTTTTATAGTGAGTCTCTATGATGTGTCCATCGTCTTGCAAGCCTTTATCCTTACTACTGCTGTATTTCTTGGACTCACCGCATATACCTTGCAGTCAAAGAGAGACTTCAGCAAATTTGGAGCAGCGTATGTTTTCATATTGATGATTTTTTTGTTTGTTTCTTTTGTTTTTGTTAAGCTAGTTTTTCCTTTTTTTAAATCAAGCTTTGCACATACACGATAATGACTACAGATCAATAGATTCATTCAAGGGAATGGCAAGGGTGTTATTTATTTTAAATTAGTAATTTTGTGCAATTCTGCTGTCTTAGTAAGAAATTCTTTTCTGTGATTATGATTCCTAAAACCATAATATTACACTAGAAAACTAGCTTACTTGGATTTTTCACTGAGACAGAAGGCAGCTGCTTCACATATTTTTAAAAAAGTAAAGTTAGGGCATAACTTTTGACAGCTTTATAAAACCGGGTTTTACTGCTGATACCAATGAACAGTTGGCATCTACAAATTATGGACATTTACTTACCAAATATATCGTGAAGAGGTTTTATAGGAAGGGAAGAGATTTTAAGTAAAATTTAAAAGAAAAGATACATTTGCTAACAGTTTAATTTCATTTTCAGCCTCTTCGCCTGTCTGTGGATTCTAATCTTCTCGGGTTTCTTGAGGGTAAGATAGCTTGTGTTCAAGGCTAAAAACAATCAATCTTTTGTTAAACATCAATCCTTTACTAACTTCCAGTATAACAAAAACGTTTTGGATAGTCCAATATAGCTTAATAAAAAAAATTTCCCTACCAAATCTGTTGCTGTTGTAGATCATGCCGGTGATCGTCAACCATTCATTTCCAATTCAAATTTTTGTTGAATACCATTCTTGCTAATATAAAAGAGGTGTTTGCATTGATTGAGAAAGTTTGTCAATCAAGATCCAATATTTGATTGAGAGAATGGGAAGGAGATTTGGGGTATTTTGTTTTTCTAATTTTTCTGTCGTTTTTGATATTCTGGTGGAGGTACTCATGCAAAGAGACTGTGACTGGGGACTATGTAAAATAAGAACATTGAAATGTCATCCTAATCTTGTACGTAACAGTAAAAGACAGTGTGTATCCTTTTTTTAAGTATGGCATATCATTATGTAGGGATTTTAATATTAAAAAGAAAAAGAATTATTTTTTTCTTCTTTCATTTGCCTCCAGCTGTTCTTCTACAGTGAGACAATAGAGTTGGTGTTTGCTGCTGCTGGAGCCCTTCTGTTCTGTGGATTTATTATTTACGACACTCATTTGCTGATGCACAAATTATCCCCTGAAGAGTACATACTGGCTGCAATCAATCTCTACTTGGACATCATCAATCTGTTCTTACACCTGCTGCGTTTACTGGAAGCATTTAATAAAAAATAGTCAATAGAGGTCTGATTTGACTATAGCGTATATTAAGTAATTAAATAGTGTTTGGATGATCTACAGCTGTATAGTCCTGTCTTCTAGAGACTGAATCTTTATTACTTTTTTCATTCCATGAATATTGATCCCTCCTTAGGAAAAAAAAAAAGAGGCTTTTTATGTAGCTAAAGTTTTTCTCTAGAATATATATTTTATGTAGTTAACATACTGTCATTATTTCAGTCACTCTTTTAATCACTTGATTGCACTTGACATAATCAGTGATTAAAATTTTGTTTGCCAACTTCTGATTGCTCCAGAGTAAGCCTCTCTCTGCTCTTCTGTAGCTGCTGGAAAGGTTTCCTTTGGGATTGTTGAGTTGTGCATACCGCATGAGGGTAGCCTGAGTTTATCACTGCACAGTGTTTTACTAAGCTAAAATTGTTTCTAATTTTTGTTCGGTAAAATGGAACGCTGTCTCTAAGAGAGATACTCTGTTCTTACGGGCTCTCAGATTATTGTGTAAACTGTGAGGGTCTTAAAGCAATTATAGGGAATGTTCTTCATTTAAGTATTATTTATTGCCTGTCTTTCAGTGTTCTGAAAAATCATTTGGAGAGGGATTCTGGCATTTTATCAGCATGTGTATATTAAGGTTAATTATCTAATAAAAATCGGGAAAACTTCAATGTGTTCTTGCGGCGAGTCTGGGGGACGTCGGGGCGCTGAGAGGGAGCGGTGCCAGCCCTCGCCGGGCAGGGACAGGGGCTGCTCCCCGGGCTGCTGACATCCTGGAAGGGCAGGAGGGTAAAAAACGTTTGGAAAGGCTTGCTTTCTGCATATCCAGTGTTTATATTGTATTGTCACTGCCCCCCGGTCCTCTGCCGGCCAGAGGCTGGCAAGAAGGTGACAAGGTACATGGGAAACGTCCTGTGTCTCCCCAGGAGCGGTGACACCACCCGCTTTCCGTGCGGGAGCTTGGCCGAGGCTGGCAATTGCTTTGAGCAGGTGTGATCATTTCTCTCTTCTGTCCTTCAGAAATGTGTGGAAGCAGCTAAAAATAAAACTTGGCTTTTTTTTTTTTTTCTCCCGGTGATGAAATGCGTGTTGATTTTTTCATCCATCGCCCCTCAACCACACCCCCCCGCAGTTGTCTCACGCCCGCAGCTCGGTGCCCGCAGCCGGTCCGTGGTGCCGCAGCCGGAGCGGCGGCGGGGGCTGCGCGTCCGCTCGGAGAGTTACGGTAGAAGCTGCCGTGACCGCGGGGAAGCTCTCCGGGGGCGGGGCCTGACGCGTCAGCCCGCCCCACCCTGCGCGTGCGCGGGGAGGGAGCGCGGCCCTGCGCGCGGGCGGACGGCGGACCTCGTGTGCGGCCGGGGTGAGTGGCGGCGGG